AGGTACAAACATTGTTATAAGGTAGTGTATCAACTCTAGTCAGTCTTTCAGAATTACCACAACATCAAGAAAGTTTCAAAGCCATCCTCTTATACAGGACTCTTTCTGGACCCTCAACCTAACTTTTTAAAAAATATATATATATATATATCTTTTATTGATTTTTTTTTTAGAGAGAAAGGAAGGGAGAGAGAGATAGAAACATGGATGTGAGAGAGAAACATCGATCACTGCTTCCTGCATGTCCCGCAGTGGGGACCGAGCCTGCAACCCGGGCATGAGCCCTGGGACCTCTCAGTCCATGAAATGACGCTCAATCCGCTGAGCCACAGTGGCTGGGCAAGAACCTAACTCTCTGAGACATACCTTCTCCACACAATTGTATCAAATTAAGTTACACAAAACCTGGATTTATTGTTGCATTCAATAACTACTTATTGATCCCTAGTATGTGCCCAGCACTGTGCTCGGCACTGGAAATGGAGCAATGAGTAAGAAACTCTCCTGACCCTCCTGGAACCTTCTCCGTACAGTGGAAAGATGGCAGCAAGCAGGTGGTCACAATGCAGTGCCAGATGGGGAGTGAGGTTCAGAGAGGCCACATAATGGGCAATTTTTTGTTTTAAAAAGACAGTCCCCGGACATCCCTTACAAAGTTTTTGGTTTTTGTTTTTCCTTATACTGTAATTCTTGGTGGAGTCAGGGTCTGCTTGACACAACAGGGGCCCAAAAGGCCCGATCCTTGTTTGCAAAAGAAAACCAAGGTAGCAAGGGGTAGACACATGGTACAAGCTCAATTATTGTGGGCTTCTGCCTGGGACTCTGAACCTGCACCCAATATCACTGGAGAATTCATTCACATTCTGGCAGGGGAAGCTGCAGGGTTTGATGGGGTTGGTTACACCACTGTCCTACCCAGGTTATTTCTGTGGTTCAGGCTATCCAGCTTCTCTTAGTCACCATTCATTTCTAACGCTGGTTCTCTGGGCTGCTTGTGGATCCTTTAAGTGGAATTCCAATAAATTCCTCTTCTACTTAATCAGTTTCTCTTCTTTGCAACCAAGAACCCTGATTAGAACAAACTCCTAATTCAACCTTGGAAGAGGAAGGCAAGCTTTCCAAATGTGGAAAAGTGTGGCTCAGTTGGGTGAGCATTGTCTGTGCACCAAAAGGTTGCCGGTTTGATTCCCAGTTAGGGCACGTGCCCATGTTGCAGGCTTAATCCCTGGTTGGGGCTCTGCGGGAGGCAGCTCATCGATGTTTCTCTATCACATCGATGTTTCTCTCTTTCTCTCTCTCTCACCCCTCCCTTCTTTTCTCTCTAAAATCAATGAAAACGTATTTTAAAAAAAATGTAGGACATCTATGCTAATACCCGAAGGAGAGTAAGAACAAGGGAGATGAAGGGAGATGAAGAGGTGGGAATAGCAATGTTCCAGGTAAAGGAAACACCTGTGCAAAGGCCCAGAGACAAGGAGATGAAAAATAAAATGTGAAAGGAGGAAAAGAGATGGCTCAAGGCCTTGATTGTTAGATTAAGGAAACTGAGCTTTATTCTAAGGAAAACCATAAGCCACTAAAGGGCAGAGGAAAGACCAGACTCTTAAGAAAGACTACTCTGATTGTAATGTGGAGAATGGACTGGAGCCAAGATGAGAAGCAGGGAGACCAACTGGATGTCTGTCACTGTAATTCAGGCATGAGGTGATGGTGCTTGGACTAGTGGGCAATGGAGAGCGATGGAGAAAAGCAGCTTCAACAGCATAATGTAAATAAAACTGGTAGAATGCAGTGGTCAGTTGAGAGGGAGGAGGGGAGGTCAAGATGACTCATGTTTTTGGCTTGGATGGGGATATCAGAGCCAGGAGAGGAGGAAGAGTTTAGTGATGGACATGTTCTGCTTGAAGTTCACAGGACACATTCAGATAATGTCTAGGACCTGGTTGGGTGTGCAAGTCTGACATTCTGGAAAAATGGTTGGATTCAAGAAATAGATGTCATCAGCACATAGATGGTAATTGGAGCTACAAAAGTTAAGTGATGCCTGAAACACCAATCAGAAAGAATATATGTACCCCCATGTTTGTAGCAGCACTATTTACAATAGCTAAGATCTGGAAACAGCCCAAGGGTCCATCAGTAGATGAATGAATAAAAAAGCTGTGGTACATATACACAATGGAGTACTATGCAGCTGTAAGAAAGAAAGATCTCTTATCCTTTGAGACTACATGGAGGGACCTGGAAAGTATCAAGCCAAACAAAGACAAGTATCATATGATCTCACTTATTTGTGGAATATAATAAACATAACAGTCTGAGGAATGGGGTAGTCCCAGAAACGTGGAAGTGGGGTACAGACTGACAATCCCCAGAAGAGGGGTGGTGGGGGAGAGATAAACACAGAACTTATATGCACGTATGCATGAACAATGGACATGGACAACAAAGCTGGGGACAGGGCAGGGAGGGCGGGGGAGGGGGGAATCAGTGGGGGAAAAAAGAAACATCTGTAACAAAAATTAATTAATAATAATATATATATATTTTAAATATTTTGCCTGTATTGATTTTAGAGAGAAAGGGAGAGATAGAACCATTGGTGTGAGAAACATCGATTGGCTGCCTCTGGCCCCCACTGGGGATCGAGCCCACAACCTGGGCATGTGCCCTGACAGGGAATTGAACAGGGACCTCTCAGTCCATGGGATGACGTTCAGTCCAAGCCACACTGGCTGGGCGATGTAAGATAATTTTATTAAGTTGTGGTTTGGCTCAACAAATGATTTAGTTTACTGTGTGACAGGCACTGTCCTAGGTGCTGGGGATACAGTAGTGAACAAAACAGTAAAAGATGTTCATCTCTTCACATTCTGGAAGGGGGTCAGATATATTCAGCCTGTCATATAATAATGGTAGGCATAGAGATACCCAAAGCAGAAAAGAAGGCATATGTATGCAGGGTTACATTTTAAAGAGGGTAGAGGACTTTACTAGTGTATGTTACATTTGAGCCAAGACCTAATGAAGCTGAGGTAGCCAGTCAGGTGTTACATTCGGGCATTAAGTAGGAACAGAAAACCTCCAGTGCTTGGCATGTCCCAGAAACCAAATGGAGGCCAGGCCAGTGAGGCGGGGAACAAATGAGCAAGGGTATCCCAGGAAATTGGAACAGAGAAGTAGGGTGTGAGGTAAGGATGGGGAGTAGGGGAGACTAGATCAAATGTTGGGCTGTGTAGACCACTCAGTATTCTTAAAAATCTAGGTGGAAAGCTGTTGGGTGGGTTTTGGGGCCAAGTGATGCCTTTTTACTTATTTAAGGATTTCTCTTCTGGCTGCTGTATTGAGACTGAAAGGAGAGCAAAGGCTAAGCAGAGACTCCAGTTAAGGCTACTGTGGCATCTAATAGATAAATGAGTGGCAATTGGAGAGGTGAGTTGACTTCTGTTTTGGAAGGAGAGCCAACAAGAACCGAAGATCTGATGCTAGATTTAGACATAGGGTTCGACAGTTAGCAATTGAGGTGTTTTGAGGCGTGTAACTGAAGTCTGAGAAGGAACAGCTGACAAGGTAGAAACAGTTTGTTGACCTGGAAAGAAGTCTCAGGGAATAATTTACTTTCACGTGCTACCTACAAAATGATGAAAACTGAATATAGCACTGGTTATTAATCTTGATAAAGCTTTGGTGTGTTCTGAGTGCAGCCTGGGAATGGAAAAGGAACTGGCTAAATAAATAGACAATTCTCTCAAAGGGGCAGTAAACGTGAATCTTAGATAAGTCACTGAATTATCTGGTTGCTGATACTAATGGCATTATTCACACAAGGTGCATGCTGAGTACATCCAAAAATGTTCCATAGTATAGGTTATGAAGAACACTGTTCAGTGTCTGGGTTAAGATGGGAGTGTTATTCAAAGGGTCATCAGTATGAGTTGCTGAAGCACGGAGGGGAGATGGTGTGTGTGAAAGCCTGTCTTAGGCAACCAGTAACAACTACATGAGGTCTAAGACTTCCTTTGGTCGTTCCCTAGCTGAATTGGGAGAATTCTGGCTGTAAACCAAAGATCTACTTCTCTAAAGATACACATTTGCGCCCTGGCCAGTTTGGCTCAGCGGTTAGAGCGTCGGCCTGCGGTCCGGAGAGACCCGGGTTCGGTTCCCGCTGAGGGCACGTACTTCGGTTGCAGTTTGTCCCCGGCCCTGGTTGGTCGTGCGGGTGGCAGCCACTCGATGTGTCCCTTCACGTCGATGTTTCTCTCTCTCTCTCCCTTCCACTCTATCTGTACAAAAAATGGAAAAATATCCTTGGGTGAGGATAAAAAAAAAAAAAAAAAAAGATACACATTTGCTAGGTTAAAACCCAGTTTCCTTGATGGGGAAGGTTGGGGAGAGGGCTAGAAATAATGTGATTTAGAGCTCATTCTTTCCATAGCCTGGCAGTCAGCTTCCTAGAGATCTTTCATCTAAAATGTTTGTACAAGTCTTTGCTTAGCCTTAATTTCACTGTACTCAGAATATCCACCCAAAGCTAGGAATGTTATGTTAAAATTTCAGTGGACACAAACATTGGTTCTACTCACTGCCCCTCCTGGAGAATAAGCCAGCAGATAGAGCACCGAAGACATCAAAGTTCTGTCAGGGTTACTAGTCTACCTAGAGGCCCTCCCCTAAGAGAACCAGCAGCCGCTGGGAGTGCCTGAAGGATGAACCGCCATGCCGTCTTGGTCAAGAGGGTGGTTAGTCTCTCAGAGGTCACCATGTCAGTATGAAAAGTCTGTTGATATCCATTAGCAATGTACTCCAAATCGATGAGACTTGCGACCTCAGCACTGCCTTTGATTATAGGAATTGTTTGTATGTTGGTTACTTCCAGTAACCTGACCTGAGGAGAAATGGTTTTGTCATGGAAAGGGAGTTAGAGTAATAAGAATTAAAAGTTTTCAAGTTTTTGTTTCTTCATAAATTGGTGGATGCTAACTTCAAGTCACACAACGATGTCAAGTATCACAATGTTTATTGATAGATACAAGTATATAAAATCAGGGCATGAACATGACTTGATAAATTAAGTAGACTTAATTTCAATACTATAATAAGAGGGACCAATTCAAATTCTCACCATTTGTTTCACACCCACAAAAACCACTTCAAGGGCATTAACGATCTCTCAAAACTGATCAGTTTTGTGCAAGTAAACCATGTTTCTTTTAAAAAGACTTGTGCACTTGCCCAGGCTCAAGGATATTAAAATCTAGCACATAAAGCCCATTACTAGAGGTAGAAATACAGGCAATATACTATTACGGCAACAACCATCAATTACAGTTAAGAATTTTTCTGTAACAACCAAATGGATAATCAAATATTGCAACAACTCAAGTATTACTGAGCAAAGTGCATTTCTACAGTATTCAGTGTTGCTATTCAGTTTTCTAACTTAAAACAGCCTATGATAACTGGCAGCAAAGAAGATCCTTGCAATAGACTGCCTTCTGCTTGAGAACTTATGATGTAAGTATTGCATGCTGCTAATATACTATCTAAACATTAAAGATACTCCTAAAATATTTGATGGTAGACTATGATTAAGACATTACACTACAAAAAAACCTTATGCAGAAGGAAATCCTAACTGACGTGCTTCTGCTTTAAATATTGTGAAAACATTACAGCGGAATGAATTTTCGCAGTGGTTAGGTCAAATGCAGTTACATCATAGCAACAGTATGTTTTGCACAATTTAAGGCTTTGGCTGGTTCTTTAGTCAGCTTCTTCCTCTGATTCTTCTTCTTCAGCAGTTTCTAGCCAGGTTAGCCACTGATTCACCTGTAAATTAATTTGTAATGTAAAAAAATAGGTAGTACTGACAGGAAAACTCAAAACAGAAGCTTTGATCCAGGACACAACTAGCCACAACCCAACAAAGGGCAGTTTTATGTACTACAACCTTTTATAATTGCAAACAGCCTCCAGAACATACTGCAAATGTACTATTTGTACGTTAGTTTTAAAGTTGTTTTTTAAGCACATGCCTAGGTTGCAGGTTCAATCCCCAGGCCTAGTCAACAAAATATGTCCTTGGGTGAGGATTCAAAATTCCTAAATAGACTTCTAGCTCCATCTCAAAATTGCTAGATCAGATTCCCTAAGCACAGAGCAAAGTGTAAATGCTTCAAGGGTGATGGATCCTCATGAAATTTGTGAATCTTAGGAGTAAAAAGACACTGTGGACCACTGTTTCTCAAAGCCTGGTCCCCTGGAAAACTAGTATAGTAACCACCTGGATTATGAACCACAGTCCCATTAAGTCAGAATCTCTGGGATCTAGCCTGGAACTTGCTTTGTCATTTTAGAATCCCCTAGGGCTAGAATTCCATTAAGATTCAAAATCAAGCTATGAGAAGAAGCAATTTCCTCTTCACTGGCATTTTTAATAAAGTCTAAACCAAATTTTGCACAATTACTCAATCTTTCTAAGTGGCTTTACTTAAATAATAAAAATAATTAGCCACCTCTAATCTAACATCTTACACACACACACCACACCAGGACTGGAGTCTTTTAGTTCATAGCTTTACCTCATTTTGCTGCTGCTCACTGCCTACTTTACCATAGTGTGTACACAGTGCAGAATATGTACAAACCACTAAGACTATTTTGCTTGTATTTCAGTTTCAAAGGCTCTTTCAGTTTTAGTTTTAAAGTCTCTTCATTAAAGTAATATAAAGTAAAATGAAAAAGCAGACCCAACTTCTAGAAGATTTACCTGGAACAAAGCCTTGCCTTTCCCCGGAAACTCTTGGGTTATATCTTCTTTCCAAGCCAAGAAAGCTTCTTCTTCAATAATTTCCATGTCATAGAAGTGAACAAAAAAGCGGAGTAACATGCCTAAAGACAAAAGATAATCTCATTTAGTGTGCTGTTTAAAAATCACCCCATCCTTGCCATTCTTCTGGTATCAGTCTCTCACCTTTGGGGAAGTTGCTGTTGTAGCAGTGCACCTGAAGGGCATATAGGGCACTGACTTGTAGATCAACATGATCATGAAGGAATTTCTGCATTACTGGCTTGAAAGAAAGAAGCAGTTGTTTCTCCTGCTCTAACTGTTCTTTGGAAGGAGCAGAGGAAGAATCTGTTTCATCACTGGGTGGGGTTACTTCACTAGAAATATACTGTAAGAAGCTACAGAGAACCCAAAAACAAATTTTCTAATTAGAAACAGACAATTTTTAGTCCCTTGTCCTATAGACTTTTTAAGAAGGCCCACTTTTTCTTACCTAGTCATTAAGATGTTCACAAATCCTTTATCTACATGGAGTTTGGGAGAGATGTTATCTTTAATCCACTTATATATGGTTTGAGGGGATGGATCCAACTTTATTTGCTTCAATAGTTCCTTCTCCAATTTGAGGAGTGGGAATAAGAAACTCAGTCCCTTTCCTTCCAAAATCTCCAACATGCGATCCTTATTTTGATCAATTTCTGAAGAGACAAAGCCATTTATATCATTAGGTAATGATTTCCCAAATGTACAAAATTCTTGAAAAAGAATAAAGAACTAACCCAACAAAAGAAACTCAATTTTGACGTTTGAAGCAAATTAAAGTAGGTAAAAACCGTAGCTTTTAATGAAAGTGAAATATACTTGTGGTAGGTAATGCTTATTGTGGACAATCATACCATCTAACCTATATAAACCCACTCAAGGTACCAAGCAATCTAGACTCAGCATTAAAGAAACAAACCAAACCAAACCCCACCAACAACTCCCCAGCATTCCCTTACCTGGGAGCATTTTCTGCATATTGACCTTGCTTTGTTGAAAAAGTTCTGTTAACCATTCTCGATCTTGTAATTTAGCTAGTTGCTGAAGACAAAGTAAGAAGAGAGGAAAATGGGTGCCACTTTCCAGTGGTTGAGCTAGTTCTGAAATGCTCACCAGCTCTGAAATGATGGCACGAGCTGCAAACTGTGCTAAATATGATTTCACCAAGGGGATGTCAACCTCCAGTTTGGGGCACTGGTCCAATACATTCAGGAAAGCCTTAAAAGGAAGATATAACAGTCAGCTTATTAGTTCTCAAATCTGAATGAAAAGCGTTCTCACAGAATCAGAAAAGGTCTACCTGCATGAAGTTGTCACTTGTGGCTATCCCTTCCTGCTTTAGTAAACTGATCAAAGAACTTGCTTTTTCTTTATCTTCATCACTTCTGTCTAGTGACAGGATGATTACTTTGCTTAACATCTCAGGAAGAAAGTGTTTAGGAGCCCTCATTTCTCTTACACCATTGACAGCTTCGTTCGCATTTCCACTGTTCAGATATTCAGTCACAACAGTTTCCTGCAAAGAACAATCCAAATGTCTTCAGTGCTTTTATTTTTTAAAACTCAAATATACTTCAAGAACTAGACCATGGGATTATTTGAAACTTACAGTTAGTTTAAGTAGTTCTTCCTTTGAGGGTGGTGGCTTCTTACTGGTCTTGGCAGGCTTTTCCTGAATAAGTGGTGGATTAGTTTTGAGACCAAGCTGAGGCGTCTAAACAAAACAGCAACATAATAGGTATGAATGTTTAATAAACATTTAAAAATGAAACTTGTGAACTTAGAGGGAATACATAAAAAAACAAAAAAAAACAAAACAAAGAACTTATATGCCTGTAGGTGTAACGAAGGACTTAGACAACAGTGCTGGGGGGGTGGGCGGGATCGGGAAGAGGATTGTTAATGGGGGGAAAAGGAGAAACATCTGTAACAAAAATAATTTTAAAAAAATAAAAAGGAAAAAAATCTTTAATCTTCAAAGTAGAAAAAGTTGCCATACTATAGAGTCCCATACCTGTCCCAGAGGTGGTGTTTGAGTGCGTGGTGGTTGTGCACTAGGAGGAATCATAGTTATCTGGGGCTGAAGCTTTGGCACTTGATTTTTATTCATTAGGAACGATTGAGCAGGCCTCAGGCTAATCTAGAATTGAAAACAAATCAAAACAGAAATCTAAGTTAACAACATGCAGTTGGAGAAGATACTAAAGGCAACAACATTCCAAAAGCCTAAGATTAATTCAGTATATACAAAACATGACAGAATCTAAGACAGGAATCTAAGTTTCACTAATAACAAAAAAGGTACTCCTTTGTCAACAGGTTTAATTTCTGGCAAAAAAACTAAAGATCTGATACACGAGAGGATAAGATACTATTAAATCTTGTACTTAACAGAATTCTCCTAGAACTAGCATCACTAAAATAACAAATTCAGTAAGTTAGAAAATACCTTGCTTTACTCTTAGTTAAGTAATTCTATTTAGAGGGAAATTACAATCAAAATCTTGACAACCATTTTCCTTGTTCTCAGCTAAAACACTTTAAGAGACTTGCCCTCATATCTCATAATCTTCGCTCACAGGACGCTGGACATCAAAAGAAAGAAAAAGTAGTACAGAAAAGAGAGAAAGAAGGTAAAGAACTCCAGCATGAAGTCCTCTTAACAACGCGTCTTTTTATAATCATCGGGCAATAGATTTCTGAATTGACAAACTGTGGTATATTAAGTAACATAGGCAAATGTACCTCATCTGCATTAAGCTGTCCTTTCTTAGAAAACCGAGGTGGCATATCCTTCGACTGTCCTTGCAGCTGGGATAAGAGTCCCTGACTCTGGTTATGGTAGATCTGGCTTAGCCCCTATTTCAGAAAGGGAGAAAGAAAGTCTAGATAAAAAGGGGTCCACAAATTATGGTAATAAAGTACCAAAGGGATGAGCCAAGCCTTAAGAAAAGCTTAACTGAATTTGCCCAGAGAAAGTAAAAAAAGATGAAACAGGGAAGAATAAAAATCTAACCTAACTGTCAAATAAAGTGATTTTACCAGTACTTTACTAATAAACGTTTCATTTCACCCAGTTTAAAACAACTGCCACAGATGGGAATTTGGTTTAGAAAAATACACACACAACCCTCAAGTATTTACATTTTTTAAAAAGCAAGACTAAAGCACACATTACAGGGTTTCATACTTGCTGCCTAAACATTCGTAAATGTCTTCTTACCTGGCTTTTCATAAACTTGCCTCCCATCTCTCCAAACTGCGACTGTGTGGGAGGCATGATGTGACCCCCATGGCCATTGAAGAGTTGATTTGAACGATGACGCCCCATGGTGGGTGAAAATCTATCCTGGATTACTCCTGGACCAGTACCAATTCCGCTACCTTGAAATACATACACGGACAACTTTTTACAACTCTACTACTATGTTATACTAATTTTTTTAATTTAACCAAACCACTGTTTTGTTCAAAATCACCTGGCATTTGTCCAAACATATCAGCAAGTCCTCCAAGTGGGTCCCTATCCATTTTCATCCTGGGTGGCATGAACGGTCCCTCCAGAAAGAAGTCACTTCTCATCCCTTGAGCCATAGGAGCTGGAATAAACACTCCTAGATCCTTTGGGGAAAAAAGTGAATAAAATACTTATATTGGGGAAAAACAAAAAAAATTGTAGATTATCAAAGTGCTACTTATATAATTTCTGAGCTCCACCAGCTAGCTGATAGTTTCAAACAAGTTTTAAGAGGGTCCCTTGGTTATAAACCCACTAGATAAAAGAAAAAAACAAAAAACTTACTTTTACTGCATCTTGACGGATTTGATTGATCGTCTTTGGTCCATTGTCAAGAAAAGCCTTGCGAGGAACCCAGTGGTGTTCTCGCAACTCGACGGTATCCTTTAATTGAAAAACAGTTCTAATAAGTTTCATTTTAATATTCAAAACAGAAAAAGTGCGCTCGCCAACATAATTAAAGAAACCAGTTTTACCTGCAGCAGGAAACGAATCCTCGCTGGCAATTCCTTACTTAACATCAAGGAACACATTCGGGCAAAGTACTGATCCATTAAGGACTGATAAAAGAAAAAAAATATGTAATTAAAATATGGCAAATGTATACTATTTAAAGCTTTTAGGACTACTAGATTCTAGTCAAGGTTAATGACTAAACACGGCAACCCCCTAAAATATCACAAAAAATGTCATCTGATTTAAATAAAACTAAGACAAACTACTTGTATTATTCGTTAGTAACACACATACCTTGGCTCGTTCATGGTCTAATCGAGGTCCCACTGTCCTCATTATCTGACAGAGGCACTCCAAATCCTCTCCCATATCTTTGAGTTGGACTCTCTTCTTCTTTTCCAAAAGCTACCAAAAGAAATGCTATGTTGACAAATATCTTACATTTATGTAATACTTCCCCTTATTTTGCATTGATTCATAGTTCTATGGTGTCTAGGAACTATTATTTGGTCTGTGTTGAAGAAATCCCTCCAAATTAAGCAATTTAACGTAAGTCCGTCATCAGTTCTAACCCTAACTCATACACTGCATACTTGCTTCTGTATTCAGAACATTTAAAGTTTTGCTGGCCATCTAAAATAGTCTACTAACATTCTCAGATGGCAAAGGCAGTTATAGTTGACTCATTTCCCCCAAATGACTATGTGTACTCATGAATTACCTAAACCTAATTCTTAATCATACTTACTGTTTTGATGCACTTATGAAGGATAGATTCATGAATAAGATCAAGCTTTCCAAGTTCTCCAATGAATTTGATGTTCCCCAACATCTTGATCTTAGCAATGGCTCTCTGTTCCTCCTCCTCGGGGAGGAGGGGATTTTCACGCTTATCATAGACTGGAAGAAATACGAAATAATAAAGTCAACATTCAGGATTAAGTTGACAACGTACAGTACTATTACAGCTTAGTATCAAATATAAATTCTCACCATCAACATTTCTGGTTCGGTTTTCAAATTCATCTTGTAATTTGGAAATTAGGAGGCGTCTGAATGTCTATAGAAACAAAAGACATATGGCAAGTTCTATTAATGATGTCTTTCAAATCAACTTTAACGGAGGCAAAGCAAACACTACCACTTACTGTGCTTTGCTTCTGTCCTGGTTGACCCTCTGCTGCTGGGCCATCAAAGTTTGGTGCATCCTCTGCCAATCGCAGACATAGCTGAGCATACAGTGAGCTATACTTTGGCTCTTCTAGGGCTTTGTCCACAATCTACAGGAAATGTCATATTTTAAATACTAAATATGACAACTTAAAGAACCCTTCCCTTTATAACTTAATTCTCTGCAGTCTTAATAATCTTAGATCTCAAATTCCCTATACCTCATTTATATTTTGTGAATAAGAAAACTTCTTTTGTAAGGATTAATAAACTAAATCAGATAATGCATGTAAAGTGCTTAGCACACAGCCTGGAAATACACAAGTATTTAAATGTTAGCTATTACAATGTCTTTAAAAAGTCCAGTTGTACAGATCTCATACTAGTCAGCCCCCCACCAGAGTTGAAAATATGTGGAAAATCAAAACTATAAACAGACACTTGAATGTCCTATCTATTATCATACAATTCACCCCAAGATCAAAATATGGTGTTTCCACAGAATGAAAAACAGAACAAAAATGCATACACAGCCTGCTTATGATAAGCCTGTTAACTTTCCAAGCATACATATAGTATGAACAATGTAAAATTCAACTCTTAAATCTGATGCCATTAAAAGTTAGTGGGTTTAAAAAAAAAAAATCACCATTATTCAAAAATGCTCTTATCTAGCTCACACCTCAGAGTTTTAAACAATAATACAAGTGTAAAAAAAACCAACATGGGTTTGTTAAATATTTTCCTCTCCCTTTCAGTTAAGCCAACATTTAACTTACCAGCAGTATGACCCCTTTAAGGATGAGTTTAGACTCTACACCCACATTGAGGAGCTCAAGGCATAGCTTGTCAAACTTTTCAGGAGTAAGCTTATTTAGTATGCTGGGGGAAAAGGAATCACACTTTAAGTGTCAGCCAACACACAAAGAATTAAGTTGAAAAACAGCTTTTAAATTGCAGTAACTTTTTTCTTCTACCATCTCCCTTTAGTATCATGAAGACATTTCTTCTTACCAACCTAACCAGAGACATTTAAATAAACCTCTCATTGTAATTTAGACGATAATTTCTGTACCTAACTGGGGGTCCCCAGCTGTCTGACAAGAAATCCTTTCACATATCCTCAAAACCCAGAGAACAAGAGCCTCCTTATTATCAAGGCTAGATACAAGACCTAAGACCTGTTCTGTGTACCTCATTGGGTTACACACTACATGTGAGCAGTGTCAGCACAACAGGCTGAAACCAACTCTATGCCCCCTAATACTGATGGTGCTGCTCTTTAAGATAAAACTGTCAACACTGACATCTGTTAAATATACACTTTGGGCATAAACACTCCCTTCTAAGTAATATAGCCTATCCACAAAAGAAATACGTTCTTCTTTCATTCCTTTTAGTGAAAGGACCAAATAGACTTATAAACTCACCCTCTTACTTTCCTGAAGATTGCATCATGTCGTTCTTTTTCATTTGCGGAGTTGTTTGCTGCGGAGTTGTCATCTCGTCTAGTGCTTCGTGCAGGAATCCATTTCTGAGCGTTTTGCCCTGGGGTTTTCCCCAGGAACTCGCTAGTAAAAATAAATTTATAATTAAAACTGAGACAATTTCAAATGTAACACAGTTACATATATCAACTGTCAAAATGATCAGAAATCCTTCTAAATACAAAAATTCCAGTTTAGGGTTTCTCAACTTCCCTTACAACTAAAAACTCACAATCCACAGTGGTTCTCAAACAAGTGTGCATCTGAATCACCTGAAGAGCTATTGTTAGAGCAGATTGCTAGGCCCACTCCCAGTTTCTACTTGAGTGGTCTGGAGAGGACCTGATAATTTACATTTCTATTATACACTCCTAAGTGATGTCAATGCTGCCCCACTTTGGGAACCAAGATTTTCTAATGTCTCATGACCTTGTCACATATATAACCTAAATTTACGCTATGTAGCAAAAACCATGCCCAGTAAGGTTAGGATTCCTGATGTCTACTGCCATAAATATATTGTTATGCATGACAAAGACTATTAATACAAATCTGGTATTTGTAAAAGTCATTGTTTTCATGTTTGTTATATACCTGTTGCCAGCAGTCTTGGGATAGTGCTGAGGTGCACCCCTACTTCCTCCTCCGCCCGAAGAAGCACTGATTAAAAGAAAAAACATGTTTAAAAACTATACCCCAAGTATGTTTTATTCAGAGGGACAAAAGATCTCTTTAAGTATCCTGTATTTGAGAAATTACACCACAGACAGAGACTGAACTTGGGCCAAATGGAAAGCCAAATCATTGAGCACATTTATTTTTCACATGGCAATTAACAGAAGAGAGTGAAAATTTAAGGACTTTAAAAAAACGAACAAGACACACGATAAATTAAATGTACAACACATTTATTCAGAACTATTTGGTGTGATTTTGTTTTTTTGTGATTGGTCTCTAACAGTTGCCCCAAAGTAAACGTACACCTACCTGAAACGAGAAGCACCCCCTTCTGCAATCGCACTCTCCACTTTGGCGGCTTGACAATGAAGAATCTTCAAAAGAATAATATTAATGGATGGGGTGGGGAGGGATGGGGATGGGAGAAATGAAAAACCTAGAATGAGAAAGAATAACACAATTAGACACCATTTCACATACAAACCTACATCCCCCTCAATTGTAATTTATTTCGGGTCGTGGCACTGCAGTCGGCGGAACTTTCACTGCATTGCAGCCTCCGGAGACTAAAACCAAGCGTACTCCAACAGGCAGTCCAATTTTGTTCCGCTCAGCCGCCAGGAGATTCCCTCGTGTTCAAGAATGCAAAGAGCCTTCACCGCAATACAAGCACATCTCAACTGCTAGGACCGAATCTGAGAAAAAGCCACATTCCACCGCCTTTCAAGCTGAGCATGAGCTCGGCCGTAGAAATCTAACTTTCACCAGAGGCACACGGCGCGGGGAACGTCCCAACAGGTCGGCGCCCCAATGACAAGGCGGACGCGACCAGGGACAGGCGGCCTGCCCGCCCGTCCTCTCTCCGAGTCTCCCTCCGCAGGGGGCACCGAGGAGATGCGCGAGGGGCCAGGGTGGGCAGCGGCGGCACTAAACGGGCGGAAGGCCGGGGCCACAACATGGCAGCAGGCACCTCCGCCCGTCTCTTCCCTCCCTGGGAACAAAAGAGCAGCGGGCTCCTCGCTACCGGGCCCAGGCCCGAGCCCGGGAGTGTCTCCGAGCCGGGCCGCGAAGCCGCGGGGGGCGAGCCCGGCGAGCAGGAGCGGAGGCCGACCCGCCGGCCCAGCGCCCGGCTCTTTGTTCTCCAGTCGGGAAGGGGCCCCCTCCCACCGCCGCCTCCAAAAGGGCGCCCTCCACCCGAGTCCCCAGGGGCTGACACCAGCCTCGCATCCCCCCCCCAACTGACAAAGGACAGCAGCCCTCGTGTCCCTCCCCTCCGCGGTCTCAGGGGCGGCCCGCGGGGATGCCCTTCGCTGCCCCACGAAGCACAGCCCTGCCGCTCCCGGCCGGCGTGGGGAATTCACACACCTCCCCGCCGGGAGGCCGGTCTCCGGGACTCCTGCGCCTCCGCTGGTCCCGCGCCAACGGCCGGGCCCTCCCGCCGACCCACGTTCCTCCCCGCGGCGGCGCATGCGGCCCCGCCACGCTCTCTCCCGGTCCGAACACACCCGCTCCATGGCCCGCCCGGGTCCCGGCCCCGCAGCCACGAGGACGGCGGGGGCCTCCAGGGTCGCCGTCTTCTACTCCGTCGACATCGGACAGGGAGAACAAAGGCGAAGAATTTCCAAGCGCCCGAAGCGCGGAGGAAACGCTGAAGAGGGTCGCCCCGCCCGGGTCCGCCTGCGGCCGCCATTTTGTACCGCTCGAGAAGAAGCGGCTTGGGGACGGCGGCCATTTTAGAGCGCTCCACTCGGCGGCGGCGGCGGCGGCGGCTCCACTCACCTTCACCGAGAACTCAAGCAGCTGCCACTGCAGCTGCCTCCTCAGGATCCGGCCGTCGGGGACGGGGAAGGGAGGGGGAGGGGAACGGAAAACAAAAAAGGGGGAGGGAAGGGGGAGGAAGGAGTCGGGAACGGCTGGAAACTCTCAGCTCACAGGAGTCGCTGCTGCAGCCACCACCCAGTACTCGCCGCCACCTCCATAGAGCTCCGACTCACTGCTGGCGCTGAGGCGTGTCTGAAGCCGAACTTATCACTCTGGGGCAGCCGAACCCGCCAGAGCCGCCCCGAATGGCTCCTGCGCCACCCAATCAGCAGCCTGGCTGCTGCTTACCGCCAATCCGCGCAGGATGGCGGGGAGGAGCCGTGGGGCCAAGCTCGGTTGCGGCGCAGCCCCGCCGCAGTGCGCAAAGCCGTATTCGCGAAGGCTCGGAGCCGAGCCAGTGGCGTAAGGGGAGCCGGGCAGCGTGGAGGTGCGGGCCACTTGCGTAAAGTCGGAGATCCCTTCTGAGTCTGCGTTGGCGTGGCTGTCTCATCTTCCTCCAGTCTTTGTTCCCGCAGTCCGTTCCCCACGTTGGAGTTATACAACCCCCTTTCCCTCGTTTTCTCGCCGGAATGCGGGAAGAAAACTCGCCCTCCTCCCGCCCTATCCGAGTCCTGTCCGTACCGGCCAGAGCATTGATTTCCTAGGCGCCTCCGAGGAGCCGTGATTCCCTTCGCCGGCCGGGCTTCCCCGGGACGGGCCTGTGGGATGAGGCCTGGCGCCCCCGGGGCGCAGCGCATGGAATCACTGTTGGCTCCGGGTGCTCCGCTTAGGCTGGTTTAGGGTGGGGAGCCGGGACCGTGGGGTGCTGGAGACTAGACGGTGCACCCAAGTGCGTAAAGAAAGCTTCATTCAAGCCCCCATTTATTCCAATCCTTGCAGAGTGAATGAGAAAGGGTTGAAAGGAGGAATTTATTGTCTGTTTCAGTACCTTACACAAAAACAGCTTTTCCCAAAGAAATGTCCGGCCCCGGTCACGGAGGAATACCCAGAATATGCCAGGTCCATTTGGAAAAGAGTTTGCGGAGCGCGGGCGTTGGGGGATTTTAATTGGTAGCCCCTGGATTTTTTTGTTTTTAGGTGTGTGTGTGTGTGTGTGTGTGTGTGTGTGTGTGTGTGTAAGCATTTTGAAGATTGTCAGCTGTGTATTTCCATTTTATGTAAGGTCCACCGTAACAAATAGGATTAGACTTTTCTGTTGAACTGTTTTTACTTCTCAGGTAATATTTTAAAGGAGGGGTACCATAAAATGAAGTGTTAGATCGTTTGCGACATTTTAGCTATCCAAAAATGGAGTCATATTTCCATATACTAAACAACCAACAGAAAATTTTCCATCTTCGTTTTGGAGATAGTTTTTGATATAATGTGTAATCAAAAGCAAGTGTGTGTGTGTGTGTGTGTGTGTGTGTGTGTGTGCGCGCGCGCGCGCGCACATTAACACCCATGACTTTTAAAGAAAGTGTTCGATAAAGAGCAAGATTTTCAAAGACCCAAACTTACATTTTACGGTCAAAACAGCTCTTGGGGTTGAAAGCACCTAGTCCTTGTTATTTTCAAGAGAGTTGCCCCGTTTTTTCCTAGGAAATTTAAACCTGATCATAGGACTCCTACCTAGGTGTGGTGTAATTCTGAAGATTTGAAACACAATTCCAGCATCTTTAGATCTTTGCCATATTTTAAGATGATCATTTCCCCTCATTATATTACCAACATCATTGCTATTAAGTCAACTTCATTTAAACTTTAACAATTGGAAAATATATTCTCACTCTTGGATTTAGTTACATGTTAAAAAAAACAAAAACTTTTTTTGGGGAAAGGCGCAAATTGTGTTTCAAATACAAAAGGTTCCACTATATAACTTCAGGACCCTTCTAACTTCAAAATAACACCAGAATGATATTTATAATTTCTGTAGGGCTTTACAGTTTGCAAAAATGCTCTCATATGTGTAATATTTTATTTTTGCATAACTGGTTTACATCATTCATGGCTAAATAATACGTTAATCTGACAGAATAGTGTTAAACTACTCCAGTCTAGACTTTAAAGAGAATATTTACTGAGCCCTAAAACCCGGATGGTCTGCCCGGCCAGTGTGGCTCAGTGGTTGAGTGAGGACCCATGCATGGAAAGATTGCGGGTTGGATTCCTGGTCAGGGCACATGCCCAGGTTGTGGGCCCGATTCCTGGTAGGGGGCATGCAGGAGGTGGCCAATTGATGTTATCTCTCATCGGTGTTTCTGTCTCTCTCTCCCTCTCCCTTTCTCTCTAAAAAAATCAATTAAAAAAAAATTTAAAACCTGGTCTTTTAATTGAGGAACTTGAAGCTCAATAATTAGAAATTAAAAAAGGTTTTACATTCTTTAAAAAAAGCTTTGCTAATTGAAAACCCCTCTGATATGGGCTTTGCAGGTGAGAAAAGTGTATGTGAGAACTTGGGCTGGGAAAAAGTAACCCAAGATAAAAAAAAAAGGGGGGGGGGGATGGATAAAACAATCTTTCAATTATCTCTCAATTGGTGGGAAAGATAGATATTCACAATTTTGATATACTTGAATCACATCATGGATGTATGAAAATTCAAGTCATTGTCTGGAATTTAGCTTTTAGTTTATAGAAAATTGAATTTTAAATATACCCACTTTAATCTGCTAGGTTTTGTTTTTTATTGTTAATCTTCACCAAGGATATTTTTCTATTGATTTTTAGATAGAGTGGAAGGAAGGGAGGGAGAGAGAGAGAGACACTTTGATTTGAGAGAGACACATCAAGCCAGGGATTGAACCTGCAACCCAGGTATATGCACTTGACTAGGGATCAAACCCATGATTCTCTGGTCCTCAGGCTGCCACTATAACCACTGAGCCAAACCAGCCAGAGCCAATCTGCTGGGTTTAATGCTTCCCTTTTATGTTAGTTTTCTCTCAAGACTGAAAACCTCTTAGAGTCCTGACTTGTTAACTCATATTTTTTTTTTTTTTTTTTTGCATTATTTTAAGTAATCATTTTAAATGCTGGTCATTATTCTAACATACATAGCTCCTGGAGCATCTCTTTGAACTTAAGGATTCCCTAATCATACATCTCGAGTCCAGATCTCTCACTAACTTCAATTCTGAATATTCAACAGCCTATTATTGATCAGACATGCAGACTTGCAGCCATATTTACTTTGAAACACACAGTAATTTTAAACATTTGAATTAGTTGACATTCAAATTTTAGGAGATTTTACATGCAAATCCAGATTTCCATCTTTTCATGGGAAATCTTAAAATATGACAATATGGGGTCTGAAATTCCAACAGATATTCAAGTATAGCTGAGTAGCGACTGCCTCATCTGGATATTTTGCTTTTATTTCACCATAGTTAAGCTTACTCAACTCACTCATTTATGTTCCTGTCTGGCCTCTATAGCCATTTTGCTTTTTTGAATTATTTGTTCAAATTCAACAGATTCAGTATGTCACTGATCATCTTCCCATTATAATGAAAAGGAATCAGACTAGTTAGTTCAGATATCTTCTCTACCACTTATTATGTAGCTTTGGGCAAGATATGTAACTGCTCTCTCTTAGTCCCCGAATCTGTAAAAATACGAACAGTATTTATAGAGTTGTTGTATAGATTAAATAATATTATGTCTTGCCCTGGCCGGTTTGGCTCAGCGGTTAGAGCGTCGGCCTGCGGTCCCAAGAGACCCGGGTTCGGTTCCCGCTAAGGGCGCATACCTCGGTTGCAGTTTGTCCCCGGCCCTGGTTGGTCATGCGGGTGGCAGCCACTCAATGTGTCCCTTCACGTCGATGTTTCTCTCTCTCTCTCTTCCTCTCTCTCCCTCCCTCTCTATCTGAACAAAAAAATGTCCTCGGGTGAGGATAAATAAATAAATAAATAAATAATATTATGTCTGTAAAGCACATAGCATAGTCCCTAACATAGTAATTACAGGTCAATTACTATATTATCAATAATATTGATTAATCAACTGTTTCACTACTACTTTAGTTTTGCTAAGGATCCCACTGTTCTTCTGTCATAGAAACTTTACATTTTCTCTTTCCTTTTGATCAGGTTTAATATTCAATCAGTTACTGAGTTATGATATTATTTCCCTCTAAATAATCTTCCTACATCATCTTCTAGCCTACAATGTTATTGCATACATGCTAATCTAGGCTTTAGTATAAAACTTTTTCCTGGATTATAGAAAAGTTCTAGTTAGTCTCCTATAGTCTTTTCACTCTTCTCTGGACACTCATATTAGTCTTCCTTAAGACACTACCCTCTCGTCCCCTAACATATCATTGCCAGGTTTAAGATCTCACTGCTTGCCCTGGCCAGTATGGCTCAGCGGTTAGAGTGTCGGCCCACAGACCAGAGAGTCCCAGGTTCGGTTCCCACTAAGGGCACATACCTCTGTTACAGTTTGTCCCCAGCCCCAGTTGCGGTCATGTGGGTGGTTGGGGTCGTGTAGGTGGCAGCCACTCAATGTGTGTCTGTCACACCGATGTTTCTCTCTCCCTCTTTCTCCCTCCCACTCTATCTGAAGATAAATGCAAAAAAAAAAAAAAATGTCCTCAGGTGAGGATTGAAAAAAAAAAGATCTTACTGCTTCACTGTTTCTCCATCAGTTGATCTCAATCTTGGCTGCACAGTAGAACCACTGGGGGACCTTTTAAAATTCTCAGTGCCCAGGCTGCATCCAAGACCAGATAAATCTGAATCTCTGAAAGTGGGATCCAGCCATCAACAGCTTATTAAGCTCTCCAAGTGATTTCAGTGTGTAGTCAAGGTATGTGCAGGATAGACTATCATAGGAAATTATAATACAACTGAAAAAAACCCTAGGAAAGGAAACTGGGTTCTAGAAAAGGGAGTTTCCCCCAAGTAGGGAAATAGGCATTTGAACCCAGGGATCCCAGTTTATATGCTTTTGCCTGGCTTTCAAGCCCTTCCTATTCTGACCCTACCCTACCTCTTCTGTTGGTCTTATTTTTCACCACTCCCAGACACTCAATCTTCTCTCATAGAGCCAGTTAGGCTGGTACTGCTGCCTCAAAGAATTCACTCCCACTAATGTGTTATTGCTTGCAATTTTGAAGCCATCCTCTTTTATCCCCTCTACTGATTTATTCCTGAATCACAGATATGAATATATAAGTGCCCTGCTCAAAAATGTCAGTAGATCTTCCCTAACAG